GGTTCATAGAGATCAAAATAGAGCATCAGATCCCCTAGAATTGGAGCTGCAGACTACTTTTGAGTCACCCTGTTGGTGTTGGGATTTGACTCAGGTCCTCTGAAATAGTAGAAACTACTCAACCATTGAACCATATCTTCAGCCCCAAGGACTATTGGTATGTGCTATCCTGACCATCTCTCCCATATTTATTTACTTACTTATTTATAGTTTTATTTAGAGTTATATTTCATTTCAGAATTATCATTAAACTGTCTTTAAGTCCAATAAAATCCAGTGGCTTCAATGGTGCCAAATACTGTTTCCCACTTGGGCATCTATTGTTCATTTCAAGGCATTGTCCTCCTAAGGAAATGTTTTCAGATACTTATATTCCATTCACTCTCATGTGGTGTGTCCTCTACCACATGAATTCCTTACCCTGGCATGTAATTAGTGAAATAATATTATTCTCTAATATTAGATGTTTAGATTCTTTAAGTCACTTTTTATGTGTATGTGTGTTTTGCTTGCATGCATGTCTGTGTACCACATGCATGCCAGGTGCCCATAGAGACCAGGAGTAAGAATCAGAGCCCCTTGGATGAGAAATACAGACAGTTGATAGCCACTATAGCTAAGCTGAGACTTGAACACACGAGTCCTCAGCAAGAACAGATAATGCTCCAAATCACTAAGCCATTTCTCCAGCTATCTATATTTTAATTTTTTCTCCCAGGATGTTTTGTTTGGGGCTTTGTTTTGTTCTTCATTGTCTTCCTTAGTGTTGTCAAGGTATATTATGTCAAGATGTGTGTACAATTTTGTGATTTGAACAAATATCCAAGGGAATAAAATATTGTACATAGTGCCACATACTTCTTATGCAAGTGTCACTCAAAAAGTAATGGCTTGGATTAGCTCTCTAATGCTTGTTTCAGGGTTTGTACTTGGTATCACTGAAATCAGAAATTTAAGGGATGGAAGTCTATAGATAGTCTACCTGTCTTGCTGACAAAAGTGAGTATTTAGGGAAATTGAATTCTTTACATATCCACTTGACAGTTGTAAACTGCCTATAGGAAATGAGGCAGCAATTTATCCCTGTATCTCATGCTGTTAGGTCCCAAATAAATCCAGGACAAATGGCTAACCTGGCTGCCAGGTTCTCCCAAAACCTCCCAGCATTGAAAGTATCTGAAATAAGAAAAATAAATAAATAAATAAAAAGAAAGTATCTGTTATAGTGTGATCTTCTCGATTTCTCATCCCAGCCCCCACCCTAATCTTCTCCAATCCCTGAGCTTCACTTCCCTTCCCCCAGCTTCTCTTCCTTGTATAATCTAGCCATTTCAGTCACATATTCTCTTTGCTCTGCTCTTGGTTCTCTTTGCCCTCTTTTTCTTCTTCTGTCTTCTTTCTCTTCTCTTCCTCTCTCACTCTCCCTCCTTCTCCTTTTATGGTCTGATTTATTCCACTGGCCATGTTCAGTCTGGACTCTTTCAGATGCCTCTGGTTTTCCTCTCCCTCATATCTACAATAAGAACTTTCTCCTCAACTGTATCTAGGAGGAGTCATGTCCTCATTTTCATTCATCTATTGTATATAAAGAATATTATAATTAAGAAATAAAATTTCATTAATATTTAATTTGATGCTAGCTTTGTATTGTTTCTAACAAATAGTAGATGTGATAAAAAATACACACAGATCTTTGGAAAGCCTAAACTTCACCTTGGATAGAAGTCACAAATATCAAATAGAACAAAACTTACAGCTGGGAATTTGCCCCTAAGCTATCAGTGAATCTTCAAGCTTTTGAGAATGTTTTAGGAAGGTAAATCTAGACATGTTCTATGTGTGGTGGGCACTTCTGTATGTATGAGTGGTTATGGAATTATAGACTACCAAGTTTCCCATTGTTTTGAGCAGGGATTCTTTCACAACTTCACAAACCACATGACTAATCCTCCTCTGTCAGCCAGTCAACATCATTGTGAGGAAGAAACCTGAACTCTGAATCTTTTGTTATGAGTAGGGTTTTCCTCTGTTGGTCTGGTCCCTCAGCTGCACCAGCCCCAAATATCACACAAAGACTCTGTATTAGATATAAATTCTGTTGGCCTGTTACTAGCAATTCTTATTGGCTGGCTCTTTCTTAATGATTAACCCATTTCTATTAATCTAAGTACTTCCACGTGGTCTTAGCTTACCGGAGAGAAGGGCTGGCAATATGCTCTCTCTGTCTTCCATCTTGGCTCTCCTCCCTACTCCTTCCTTTCTCCTCCTAGTCTCCTAGTCCCTCCTATCTGGCTTTCCTATTGGCCAACAGTGTTTTGTTCATGAACCAATATGAGAAACATATTTACAGAATAACATCACCCATCATACTTTAATATTTAAATTATTCTTATCTAGTTACTTAGGAACTGTCTTTAGGCTAGAGTAAGATCTGTTTAATCTGTATAATTCTAATGCTGCAGAAGTAACCTTGGATGTCTCTGGGCACTCCTCACTGCCCTCTCCCTGATCCCTTCATGTCTCACATTGTCAACATTGCAGCACAAGGCTTTTAACAACACTACTGCCTCCAGCTCATGTAGATGGTCGAGCTGTATCATACATAGTTCTGTGTTAAGGGCTCTTGTACTACCATAAATATTGCAACAAGTTCTTTACCTGAGTTCTGAGTGTATTCTCAAGGACTGTACAATGGCTGTATTTATCTCCTAGAGCAGCATTTCTTAAGATTTTCTACTTGCTAATCTTTTTCTCTTGAGTACTTTTTCATCAGCCTTCATGTAGGTATATATAGGAAGCTTACCAATCAAAAGTCAATGTCATGTATCAAAAAGAAATTAATTTTGACACAATTTTCTGGATTCATATAAATTTATTAGTTATTAAAGACTAAGGCAAAATTAACATGCTATTAAGAAGATGTACTTGCTTAGACTTGCATAAAACATTAAAACTTATCTGAACACCTGATACTATAAGATATAAAGTATCACCAGTACTTATTAGAACTGATCTATATTTTGATTTTGTGGTCATTATTGTGGAAAATGCTTCTTTGCAGAAATATTCAGTACAAAACTGCAAAGGGGTGTTTAGGATCATTTCAGAAACTGTTAGAAGTTTGGTCCTAATTGCAATGCCAAAGCATTGAACAGTTTCTTATGAAACTCATGTCAGTTATTTAAACACTATTTTTAACATCAAAATGCTTGGGGCTAGAGAGATAGCTCAGCAACCATATCAAGCAACTCACAGGCAATGTAGCCCAAGCTCTAGGGGATATGATGCCATCTTCTAGCCTCCATGGGCTCCACATATGTATAGATACAAACACATAAAACACATACACACATAAATAAAAATAAATATTTTTAAAAAAAACTATTTTAAAAATTAGCACAATATATTCAAATACACACTAGTTACATTTTGAAGAATGATGGTAGTAAATAACTCATGTCCCTGTTTTCTATAATTAAAGCATGGCATTTATATAAAAGAAGAAAACTTTTCATATAATCCATTATATACAAAGATTACAATTCTTAGCCAAAGCATTTCAGGCTACCTTCATTATCATTGCAAGATATGACTGCATGCATAGGACAGTTCAAAACTAAAGTTTCACTTATCACTCAGTGAAACATAGGCAGACATAACCAGAAACTCGTTGGACTCATCATTTAATTAATTTGTATCTGTTATTTGGTCATTTCAGATTCAGAAATGTTCTTATTACGGATATTTTAGAATCCTCTATGCGAATCTGCTACCCTACATGACACTCAATTTAAGAATGTGTGAACTACCCCTGGTGGTGGTGGTCCACTCCTTTAACCCCAGCACTTGGAAGGCAGAGGTAAGTGGATCTCTGGTCTACTGAGAGAGTTGCAGGACAGCCAGGGCTAAACAGAGAAACCCTATCTCAAAAGAAAAAAAAATTTGTGAACTAAAGCAAAGCTCATTTTATGTTGGTTCCTTTTCTTTTAGTGTACATACTGTGTTCATTTAAACAACTAAGTCAGTAACTTGTCCTTCGTTTTGCCCTCAAGTGGCATTGTTTCCTAGGATATGTATGCCATTTGGTCAGTTTTTATTTCTTCTAACAATTTCTGAAATGTCTCAAGTATCATATTTAATTTGTATATCAATTCTGTCTATGTGCATGGCTATACTTTCCTTCACTATTGCATTATGTTGATATCTGCAATGTGTATTAAATAATAAAAAATGAAATCAACATTTCATCTGCATTATTTTCTGAAGAACTCTCTTCATATAGATTTGAATCTTTGAGCTATATTAATTTCCACATCTCAGAAGAATTGTCTGAGTGTTCTTATAGGGCAAACATTCCATTTCAGATCAATTCATACTGACTGTGATTCTGTTTCCTTTTTCCACATTTTGGAGTGGCAATTTGCCATGTAATCTCATTTTTCTGATAAATGGAAAAAAGTTATTGAAGATGTTTTTACAAATTTTAATAAACTAGGATCAAAGTTACCATTTTTACATTTATTTTACTTTGAAATATGGCACTAAATCTACATAAATTTATCTCTAGTTATAGACAGAAAGAAATACATAAGAAGATAGATGACAATGGATAAATGTGTTTATATTAAACCAGAATTATAGCTGGGCTTGGTGTAACACACCTTGAATCCCAGCACTTGAGAAGCAGAGGCAAATGGATCCCGGCATGTTGAAGGCCAGGCCTGTTACATAGCAAGTCCCTGTCTCAAAATAGAAAGAGAGAGAGAGAGAGAGAACAGAACTGTGAAATTTGAAGATCCTCATTGAAATGTTTAATAATTTTTTCAGCAGTTTTCCTAAAATTAATTATTGAAGATAAATACAGAAATATGATATAATATAGTAATATATTATCTTCTATTGAATAACATTTTCACGACAGAGTGGCAACTAAGGCTAATGCAGTTTTACCATGAAAAATGCGTTCTCCTAACAAAAGTTGTTTCAATATGTTTTAGTGTTCAAAATCTTCTTAAAAAGAAAAGACCCAACACTCGGTCACGAATCTGTTTGGTCTTGACACCATACACCAAGGGATTGACTGTGGGGGACACCAGCAGGTACAGGATTGCAAAGATTATATGGACACTTGGAGGCACATTCTTGCCAAAACGATGAGTTAAGAAGCTAAACAATGCAGGTGTGTAGAAAGCAAGAATGGTGCAGATGTGGGCAGCACAAGTGCCCAAGGCTTTAGAACGAGCTCTCTGGGAAGAGAGCCGAAACACTGCCTGGAGAATTTTTATATAGGATGTGGCTATAAGCATGAGGTCAAATACTGCTACCGAAAAGGCTACTAAGATTCCATATATTCTGCTCACATAAGTGTTAGCATTAGCCACCTTTACCACAGCCATGTGCTCACAGTAGGCATGATGGATAACATATTTGGTATAGTAGAGAAGTGTTTTAATGAAAAGGGGACATGGCATAATCATAAGTATAGCTCGACTTAAGCCAACTAGACCTGTTTTAATCACCATGGATGTTGTTAGAATTGATGCATAATGGAGTGGGATGCAAATGGCCACAAAGCGATCAAAAGCCATAGCCACTAGGATGGCTGACTCCATGATGCAAAGTGTGTGGATAAAAAACATTTGTGTTAGACAGGCATCAAAGTCAATCCGATGTGCATCAAACCAGAAGATTCCAAGCATCTTCAGAGCTGCAGAGCAGGTAAGACATATGTCATTCATTGCCAGCATGCAATGGAAGCAATACATAGGCTGGTGGAGACTTGGCTCTAGCTTGACAGTAGTTATGATTATGCTGTTCCCCAGCAAGGTCAGGACAAACAGGAGACAGACAGGGATGCCAATCCAGAAGTGAAAGTTTTCCAACCCAGGAATACCAACCAGGAAGAAAGATGCAATGAAATGTGTAGCATTACCTTTCATGTTAAACCTAGGGATGCTGCACATTAATATTACAGTAACCAAAAAAAAAAAATGCCCAGAAAGTAGGATTGTTAGGTGAATTTTAAATGTCTTTATTGGGTAACGGAGAGTCACAATATAAAACCCACCTTTAAAGGTCTGACTGTTTTCCAAAACTTTGTAAATCCTCAGGAAAATTCTTTTCAACCTTTAGTGGCACTGCCTCTACATTCAGAGGCACAGGATCTGCGTTTGCAAAGGAAAATATTATATTCACTTAGAGTTTTCTTATTTTAACACAAGATTAAATCCTACCATAAGTATTTCAATTGCTGTTACATGGACAGTTAATAGAATAACCATAGCATGAATATATACAAACACAACAACAATCAGAAGACATTCCAAGAAATTACATCATAGGATACTGTTATCCTTAGGAGGCCTAGCTAGATTGTGGGAATTCAAAGGGAGCTAATTAGGATGAAGTAAATCCAATCATAGAAATTAAGTGCTTCATAATTTATCAAAGGTGAATTTATATGTACTTTAGGTTGACAAAAGTGAACACTATACACATTTAAATATCTTTTACTTCATTTTCCACTTCAGAGCTAGATGATGCTTTATTCATGAACAGAAGCTGGTGTTTTGATGAAAAAAATGAAGAAAGAAACAACAAAAATTAGATTGGTTGTTTCAAAGTTGTTTTTCTTATAAGGTACAGAAAAATCAATAAAGAAGTTACACATTAATTGTCATTAGGTCATCACAGGCTGCCTTTATATAATGTCTAATGCCAATTGCACATCTTACTTGGAAATTTTGACAGTTATTTTGATACTTACTTTTTTATTTTTATTGATTTACTTATTTTTTTGGTTTTTTGAGACAGGGTTTCTCTGTGTTGCCCTCATTCTGTAGACCAGGCTAGCCTTGAACTCATAGAGATCCACCTGCCTCTGCCTCCCAAGGCACATTAAACACATGCTCCACCACTGCCCAGCTTATTTAGTTCTTTTTTGAAAGCAATTCCTATATGTACTTTATTCTGTGTAGGGTTCACACATGTGGGGTCAGAAGACAATATTTAGCAGTCATTCCTATGTATGCCCTGGAGACTGCTTTAGAATTAGGTGCATTTCTCCACTGAGTTATCTAAACAGCACTTATTTACTGCTATCCACCTAGTTTTGTGTACATTTTGAAGACTTGGAATTTTATCATGATTGACACTATGGAGATTTTCAGTCAGGGTTCAGAGTACAGAGAGATCATAATTTCGAACAGTGACCTACAAATATTTTTCCTCAACAATATTGACTCTATATGAAGATCTCACAATGGACAAGTTACCATAAAAATATAAAATGAAGAAAGAATCATTAATTTTTGTTTGTAACAACTTTAGTTGATAGTGATGATGATGATGATAATAATAACAATAATATATAATCCAGTTTCCTTGCTGAGCCACAGGCCCTTGCTCCAGCTCTGGCATTTATCTTTTCTGGTGACAGTGGGAATCAAGACTCAGAAATTTGGAGTTTTGCTTTCAGCAAAAAAGACTATCTGTTCAGGACTCTACTGGCTGTATTCTGAAGTTTCTAATGACTATCCGTCATTCTTAGAGTCTAGTTTCCACCTACCACCCAAATGAAGGAATATTAACTAAAAGTCTCCATAGCACATCTTTTCAAATATTCCCAATGGGAATTATTCATGTCTGAGTGTCCAAATAATAGCTTCATGCAGGGGAAAAAAAACCTAAAATGGTCTGTGCATTCTTTGTTTAATCAGTTGTAGCTTGCTTAGGACCAAAGTAAATTATTTCCTGAGACACTTTTGAGAGGAATTAAAAAAAATGTCTGAGAGTTATCAAGCACATCAAAAATATTATTTTTCATCATAATAGGAAAAACTTAATTTTCAAAATTTAAAGAAGAAATTTAAAGCAATAAACAAATTTAATCAAGATTTTAAAAACAAAACCTTGAGCTCTCAAGTTACAATATATTATACTGTGATTTTACTAAACAGTTTCTATGTGTCAGTCCTCATGTGACATAGTCCTCTGAGAGAGCTGTTAAGCCATTGTCAATTCTCCTTTTTTCTGGGAGAGTCAAACATGTGTGGGCCTAGTAGAAGCTGGCAAAACATGATAAGAAGGTACATGGCGCTTTGTGACAGTAAGAAGGAAATAAACTCACCTAGAAATAAATCATAAAATTAGGGAAGTGAACTTTGCTAATATATAAACAAGCAAACATATCCTTGACAAACCTGTCATCAAAATAAAGTGTTTTCTTTCTGATAATGTTACCTGCATGAGGACAATGTATGGAATCTAGTTTTAAGTGATTTTCACTAGTTTCTTTATAGACCACAGATGTGATTTTCTTGTCACATATCTTTGCCTCCTAAAAGAGTCATCTCTGTCACCCAGTGTTATTTTGAATGGAATCTGGAGATGATCATTTACTGTTGGGAGGGTCTTTTCTTTTTGTTATTGTTGTTAATTTATTTCTTTACATATATCTGAAAATGGTGGTTACAATACATAAGTTATTTATAATTGTGCAGAACGCACACTTATTTTTAAGCAAAATATACATTTGTTTTTAAGTAATAACTTGGATTACAGCTCATCAGCCTTCTGCCTCAGCCTCCCAAATGTTTGAAATGTGTATGTAGGCCTGGATTAAACAATAATATTTAAATAGAGTTGAAAGGACCTGAGAAGAGGTAGGTTCAAAACAGAAAACATACTGCCTCTTCACTTACAAGTACTCAATAAACAACTCTAGAAATTTTTATTGTCAATAAAAATATGCATGCTGGTAGGATTTGCTGAAGGAGGCAGAGGCAGGAGGATCATGAGATCCAGGCCAGCCTGAGCTACACATTTAAAAAAAGAATATTTAAACACTTATGCTATTTTTAATTAACTTTTTTTTTCATTTTTCATTTATTTTAACATCAGCACCAGATAGACAGTTGCAGGGACTGCCCTCACCTCTAGATTTCTACTCACATGGTTATTCAACGAGTTCCTTTCTTTCTACAATGTCTATTTTATTGAAAACAGATTGCTTTTCATACAATATGTTCTGATTACAGTTTTTCCTGCTCCAACTTCCCCCAGATTCTTCTTACTTACCCACCCACCCAAATCCCTTTCTCTCGTGTTAGAATACAAACACAAGAACTACTTTTAAATCAAGCTCCCAGTACCCAGTTTGTTTCTCAATAATTGAATCAAATTCCTTACCTGGAACTCTTCTTTTAAGAGAAGAAGCTTAAAAGATAAAAGCATGTTTTTAATCTAATATATAAATATAAATAATATATATTAAGTTTGTATAATATATTATACATAATATATAAATATGAAAGACAGTACCCCCCTTTGAGTCTAATGAATGCTTTATCTTATTGTATTATAACAACACACATAAAGATAACCCTAAGTGAATTCAGTAAATGTCACATCCATACTATCACATTATATTTTCTTCAGTGGCAGCACCATCTTCTCAGAATGGTACTTATCCCTTGATTTACTGAGTGCCAGGATTACCTCAGCAGCTGCTAACTCTATTTTGTAGGGTTCTTACCTTTTGATTTCTGTCTGTTGTCAGTCTCATTCCTGAAATTTGTGCACTAAAATCCAACAAAGTCACAATAAATTCTCAGGAAAAATCTCTGCACCTCTATTGTCCAATAACAATTCATGGATATTTTATCTTGTATCTAAAGCTTCTTCTTCTACATAAGTGGCTCATTCGTTCACAGTTACTGTCCAGCACCATTTATTCCAACCATCTTCTTGGAATATGTTCTTTCCAAATAATTTCAACACAAAGTTATTTAACTGAAATAGTCTCGCAACAAATTAGCTCAGTCCTTCTCTGAAAAATATGATTTTAAGTATCCTCCACTTCCCTAAAAAATCAAATTATTAAACTATGTACTGTCATTTATTTGCATACAGTTCTTCTTTCCCTATTTGGCTTTTTCTTCACCTTGAATACGCTTTAATATCTATGATGCAAATGCTATGAAGAAATAACTGTTTAATCATTCAGGTGTGGACTTTAAGTCAGGTCAGTGCTATGGGTGGTTTGTAATATAGTAGCCCTGTTCCCAGGAGGCCCCTTGGATTTGAAGAGCTGATGATCCCGTAGAGACAGAAGGTCAAAGGAACAACCAAAACAGGAACAGAGGAAAACACAGAACAGCACAATGTCTATCTATACCTGCCATGAGAACCCCAAGAATTCCACAAAGCTTGTAGGTAATTAGTGAACTCCATTCGCCAAGACTGGATTTAAACTTTAGTGCCACTTCTCCCAGGAAGACGACTGAGTTTCCTCTTGGACTTTGGTTGCTTCTTTTAGTTCTATACATTCCTATTCTAGAGAGATGGCTCAGTAATTAAGAATACTTGATCCTCTTGCAATGGACCTTAGTTCAATTCCCAGCACCCACATGGAGATTCACAACCACCTGTAACAGGGATATGACATCCTTTTCAGGCTTCATTAGGTCTAGGGATGCATGCAGTATGCTGACATATATGCAAGCAGAACCCACATACAGATACTAAAGAAAAAGAAATTTTACTAAAAGATGGCTACAATTAAAACTACACTATATGAAGATATAAATGCCATTTTTAAATTTAAAATGAATGTTTAGTGACTTAGTAAACTATCATATGTACTACAAAAACTTTCTTCAAGTATGTATTTTATATCCTGAAAGGATACAAAAGGATACTTATTTTTGTGCCCCATGTGATATTATTGAGATATGAAATATTTAAGGAGGACTTGGATAGGGAAATACATAAAATCCACCCATTTTAATTTCTAAAAAATTACACCTTGGCAGTTGCAAATTGTAAAGGAACCCTGACCCATTCAACATCATGTCTAATGTTGGTACAGAAAGAGTACATTTTGGAAGCATTTACAGTTTATTTTAATTCTTATGTTATCTAAGAAACTAATGAAGAA